AATAATAAACATTTTAACCAATCAAAAACTTTTTAATAAAAATCAATGTCTCAACATAAATATAGTTGTTAAATTGTTCGTAAGTAATTAATTTTTTTTTTTTGTTATAATCACCTACCATTATTGAGTATAAAAAATATTATAAAAATAAAATTATGAGAATTCACAAAATTTTTAAATAAAAAGAATGAATATCTATATAAAATAAATCGTTCGAAAAAAATGTATTGTACCTCGAATATTTTAAATCAAATTCCAGTCATTTCTCTAAAGTCAAATCCCTTGAACTATACGTAACGCCTATAAAATCCTTCCTATATAAATGCCCTCCACTTTACTGCTTTTCCTTCTCAATCTGTCACACAGAAAGAGGGGCTCAAGACATAATGCAACAACCGCACAACCACCGCCATCACAGGCAGCGCCACCACAGCAGAGAGGCAGAAGACAGTCAATACAAAAGACCCAAGTTTTTTATCAACGACCACGTCGACATCCTCGTGGAGGTACTCGGGAGGCTCGATGGCCGGTCCCTCTGCGTTGCGGCCTGCGTCTGCCGCCTGTGGTGCACCATTGCCCGCAATGACTCACTCTGGGAAGACCTCTGCTTCCGCCACGTCTCCCCTCCGCCTTCCAGTGTCCGACCCGTCGTTGTGGCCCTAGGCGGATACAAGCGCCTCTACATGGCGTGCGTGCGCCCTGTACTGAACCGACTCGGGCGGGTCAGAAGGGCATGGACCCGGGACGAAGTGCAGCTCTCGCTGTCTTTGTTTTGCATTGATTGTTATGAGAGGCTTGGCGGCGTCGGTGGAAGTGGGAGGCTCGCTGGCGGTGAGTCGCCGTCGTCGCTGATGTTCCTTTGCAAACCGGTGAATGTGTGATTCCTTGATTTCTTCAGAATTAATTTGACTCATCGAAAGAGTGGCAGGAAATAATTAAGCAGATGGACCCTCATCTTTTAGTTTAGCATTACCAATTTATTATACGCTAATATCTATGAAAGTGGAAATGTGAAAATTCTTTATTTTTATTATTTGTCTTCCATTGTTACATTAAATATATATTATTAGTGACTAGATTTATCTTTAATAAAATATTAATTAAAAATTATTACGTATGGTGCTAATTTGCATTATGCTTCCCACCCTTCTGGCTTTCCTGCTTCTTTTGAACCATATTTGGTTTTTGTATTTTCAAAATCAGTCCGGGTTTTGCACTTAGGACAATAGGGGGTTACATTAAATATACACCAGCTTTTAAATGAAAGGTCCTATCCTAATACTAGAAGATTTTTACTATTTAATTGTTAGTATTTTGTAATTAAAATTTTTTTAAAATATTACAAAACACTTTTTTATTTTGAAATACAATACAACATAAAAACAGAAATAGCATAATATCCTAAGAAAAAACAAAATTAATGCTTATAGGGTGACCAGGCCTCAATTGAGTCGGTAAATATCTTAGAAACTATAACCTTACAAATTTGAGTTTATGAGTTTAACTCTTGTATATGTGGAGTTTTTTAGTATTTTTTATTTATATATTTTATTTATTGTTTTAAACTATACAATAAGAGACAGTTTTTCATATTTCTCAATGAACTCCAATACATTTACTTACAATTTGAGATCACAACTTTCTATCTTCAATAAAATAATATTACCAGTATACTATTTAAGTAATTTACAAATTGCATTTAGAGTTGAAATTGTATTATATACAATCGCACCCTTTTCATTTGGTTAACCAATTTTTTTAAAATAAAACCGTAACTGCCTTTATGGACCCCTTGGTTTATAGGTGCACAACCCACCCCCATAAACTGGGCTCAATTCTTTCCCCTTCCCCAAAACTGCATTTATTAGAAAAAAACAGTTTAAAAAAAATAAAACTAATTGTTTTGTACACTTAAAAATTAATTCTTCGGTAAAATTATATTGTATTCACTTGCACTTTTTACTCGATTACTGTTCAATGGAAAAGAGTCACTCGGTATCGGACCGGCCTTAAGTGGCCAAATGGTTCATTATGCAAGCCTAGCAACTTTCCATACTTGTAGCCCTTAGGTTTAGAGTTGGACTCCGAACGTTGACTTGAAATTTGAAATCTGTAATGAAATACAACAGAAAATTTGAAAAAAGTTAAAATATTAATTTCATTTTTCAACTTTTAAATTTGTATTGAATTTATGTTTAAATTTTATCAAATAAAAAAAATGTCCTTAAAGTGACAGGTGTCACATTAACTTCTAGAAAATCATATTTTTTTTAAAATAATGATGTGAAAAAAAAATGATGTGGAAAAGAGGAAATTCTTAAATGTGGTGATATGGTATTTTTTTTTTCTTTCCACAAGGCCATTTTTAATCTTTTGTGGACAAATAAAGAACACATATTTTCTTTTCTTTTCTGTTCTTTTCTTCTTCTTTTTTTTTTTTTTTTTTGTGCAAAAGGAAAATATTATAAATGCAAATTAGCAAGTGCAATACACAGAGTTTCTAGCTAGGTTGGGCAGTAAGTTACATTACAAATTTGAGAAACAAAATAAAAAATAACAAGGGGGTCCTCCATTGAAGCACCAAACTTGGCCAACACATCTGCAACTTGGTTGCCTTTTCTGTAAACATGAGTTATTTGCACTTCTTCAAAAAGACTAAGAATAGATCTACAAGAATCAAATCAAGGGAGATGAACCCTGCAAGTATGTTGGTTTGTCAAGTAGTTCACAGCAAAAATGAAATCAGATTCAAGAATAATTATTCTAAATCCTTTTTCAAGAGCTAGTTCAAGGCCTTGTTTAATTCCCTAGAACTCTGCATTTGTATTGGTACCTATTCCTAAGTTAAGAGCATATCCCACAATCTAAGAACCTAAATCATCACGTAGAACACCCCCAACACCGGATGGTCCTAAATTTCCAAGCGCTGAACCATCTGTATTAATCTTGATGAAGTTCATAGGTGGTTTTGTCCAGGAGATCGCAATGAAATTGCTAAATATCCTTTTGACAATGTGATTCTTGGAGCTCCAAAACTCAACCGCAAGACTTAATGATTTATGTCGAACAAATCCTATATGAGATGTTTTTCTAAAACAAAGCTGGTTACGATCAAGCCATAAATGCCAAGGAAGGAAGCAAAAGATCGTTGACTAAGGGAGTTTTGGACCAGAAAAGAAAAGCTTCAAAAAGCAATTGATCTTGGTCCAGTCAAGGAGTGGAAGTGAAAAGGAAGGTTGAAGAGTACCTGGAAAGGAGGTAGAGTGCCAAAAGGATAGGACAACAAGATAATCGCGAAATGCATGCATTGGGGTTTCCAGGGATGAGCATCTAGGGCAGATATTTGGAATTTGAAGGCTTTTAGCAGTAAGGGTCGCTCTTGTTAGGATTGAGTTGTGGGCAAGAAGCCAAATGAAAAATGAGGTCTTAGGGAGGGTTTTAACTTTCCAAAGCCAATTCCAATTGGTGGTAGACTCAGAGTTAGTGATCATGGAATAGGCGGAGTTCAAGGGAAAGCTTCCATTAGGGGTAAGTTTCCAATGAAAGGTGTCAAGGATATTTTAGCTAGATAGTAGAAGGGTGGTTTGGATGGTTTTATTGGTAATGGAGGGAGCTAGACATGCAGCTCACCAAAGGAGGAGAGGAAGAAAATAGCATCAATAATTGAAAGGGAATAGTCTTGTAGGGAGTGAGGTCAATGAATGGCTGCACTGAGTGGCCCCAATGGTAACCAATCATCAAAAAGGAAATTGATTAATTTTCCATCATTAGGGGTCCATCAAATTCCTTGACTAAAGAAGCACCAACATTTGGTCATTGATCTCCATATGTGAGAGGACTTGGCAAAGGGGGAATGGCTCATTACAAGATTGTAACAAATTAGACCAGGGCATTGAGTGTGAAGTCATGAATCTCCAAATAAGCTTTGTGATATAATCAATGTTTAAGTCTCAAAAATGTCAAACACCAAACCTCCCTTTATTTTCTTTTTACAAACAGTTTTCCAGCTAACAAGATGCATCGTGCACTTGGAAGGGTCACTTTGCCACAGGAAATCACAGGAGAATTTGTCAAGAGCTTTAGAGGCAGTAGTGGGGAGGAGGCAACATTGCATGATATGAGATGGAAGGGTAGAAAGAGTTGAGTTAATGAGGGTGATGGGGCCTACAAGGGTGAGGAATTTAGCCTTCTGCCTAGCCAATTTCCTTTTTCTTGAATCTAGTATGAAGTTGAAGTCATTCTTGGATTGAGGCTTAGAGATAATTGGAAAACCTAAATATTTATCAAGTGATTCAAATGATTTAATATCTGGGGTATATCTTCTAAATTGAAATTTGTGTCTCTCAACTTTTGCTTTTCACGTTAGAATTACCTTTTACCATTTTTCTTCACTTCAATAGATTGCTTGAGAAATTGTTTCAAAATCCACTCTTGGGTTTGAACACTATTGCATTCCTAACCACAAAAATTGGACAAACAACTCAAATTTGAAGATTATGGGCATAGTTTATGAATAAAAACATAAATCTTCAATAGGCAAAAGCTGCAAATTCTCCTTTAAAATTGTTGTGTTTAAGTAAATTATTATCTTAAAAATATTAATACAATTTATTATTTTAAATTTTTATTTTTAAAAAATAAATTTAAATTTAACCAATATTATTAATTTTTTATTAAATTTGAAGTGTAATAATTTAACAAAATTTAATATTTTTATGAATAATAATTTACTTCAATGTGATAATTTTGAGAGATAATTTTGAGAGGCAATTTGCACATTAGGTCATTCCAAAATAAGGAGAAATTTATCAACACAAAACAAAGGATCAAAACATAGCCATAAAAATCCCAAACGCCAAAGAAACTTAAAATTAGAACTAAAGAACAAATTTGTTATTGAGTTGAAGTCGAGTCACCATGGATATGGGAACTTATAAGTAAATTTGGGAACCTAGATGGGGTTCCCCGTTGTGCAACTTTTTTGAATCAAGAATATTGGGTTTTCTATGGTTCAATCAGAAGGCACTACTAAAATTCTTATTTTTAGCAACAAAATATCAGCAACATGAGTGGTCTTGTTAGTAATATAAATTTTCACCAACAAGGATTATGTTGCTGAAAATTATACAACACATTCTCCTATCTAAAAGGCTATTCCACTTTCAACAACAAAGGGTATGTTGTTGAAAATGAATTTCAGTAACATATCCCATGTTACTTAAATATTCTGGCCATCACACACTGCACATGCCCCATTTATGCCTTGTTTTTCCTCCCTTTTCTCCTTCCCTTTCTCGTTCCTTTGCCCTTTCTCCAACTTTTGCAAACCCAACAGAGTTGCTAGGTTTTCTTCTTTTCTTTTTTTTTTTCACTTTTTCTCTCTTTCCTCTTTCCTTTCCTCTTCCCTTTCAACTTCTGCTGGGTTCTCTGCAGATTCGTTGGGTTCTAGCAGATGCATTGGGTTCCAGAACCTAGCAAAAGTTTTTATTTTTATTTTTATTTTTTTGGCTTATTTAACTTAGTTTACGTTTAATTCATTTCATTATATGAGTTGTTCTAAAATTAATGAAAAAATCTTAAGGATTTTGCATAAAAATGGAATTGGAAGGGGAAGGCTGGAGCTAGAGAAGATGAACAGCAGCAATTGTAAATGTATTTGTTTTTATTGATTTCAAAACCCAAATATGTAGCAATTGGGGTTGTTTTCTTCAATAGGAATGAGTATCTTTGTTTTTTTCAGTACTAATTTTTGGTTTGTTCTTTGATAAATTTAAATGGGTTTTAGTGTGATAACATTGGAAAAATAGAGAAGGTACACTAGAGGAGGAAGGGAGGAGAAAGAGGGATGCAACGGAAGGGGAAGGAGAAGGAGAGGGGAGAAGATTAATTAATTGTGGATCCCACTATTTATTGTAATTAAATATAAGATAATTATACATTAAACAAAATA